CTTGCACCATGAAATAAAAGAATTCTCAACTCATAAATAAAATCCAACGCATTTAAACATTAAACTTTAAAATGACAAAACATACCTTCATTTAATAAGTTTGATTTATACATAAATAAACTAATTAAATATGCATGCAAAAGTCCTTGTATATATATATATATATATTATTCCGACTCATATGCAGAAACTATTCACGACTACAGATCCACACACAGAAATTTAAAAATGATTCAAAAAACCAATAAATAAACTAAACTTGCTACAAAAGTTTCTTTGTAATAAAAATGAAATTTGTTTGTAAATTAATATTTTACTCCAAAAACAAATTCTCCCATGTACTACGATAAAGTCAAAAGAACTATGATAAATTAACAAAATTAATTTTCTAGTTACTAAAACCATAAAATAAATTGTAACATAAAATAATTTTATTTTCCTTGTTATTTAAACTAGTAAAATAAAATACCGAAATAATATTTGATTACAAAAAATCAGAAAAACAAATCACAAATTAATTTTCTAGTTACTAAAACTAAAAAATAAATTATAACACAAAATCATTTTATTTTTCCTTGTTACTAAAACTAGAAAATACTGTAATTTTATTTTCTTTGTTACTGAAACTAGAAAATAAAATACCACAAAACTATCTGATTACAAAAATCAGAAAAAACAAAAAATAATTTTCTAGTCACCAAAACCAGAAAATAAATTAAAACACAAAATAATTTTATTTTCTTTGTTACTAAAACTAGAAAATAATATAATTTTATTTTCCTTGTTACAAAACTAGAAAAATAAAATACCAAAATAATTTTCTGTAACACCAAATAATATTCTATAATTGTAAATGACACCAGTATATTACTACTAATTGTCAAAGAAAAGAGACAGTATATTACTACTATCTGTCAAATAGCATAAATCACTATATGTTTTTCCAATCAGAATATTACTTTGAAAACACAGAAAATTAAATACAATGAAGATACAAAAAATTATTCTGTCTTAAGATTGTTGGACAATCTTCACTGTATTTATAAGATTTAATTCTATTGTGTACAAAAACAACAACTAGAATTTAAAGAAATAAAGAAAATGAGAGAATTTGTTTGATTATAAAAATCAAACTCGAAATAATAAATTAATAAATAAAAACAGATTTTATTTTGTTACAAAAATAAAATTAAAATCTGATTTAAATACATAACAATAACACAAAAATTAATTAAATAACTTACTTGATTTAATTTCTTCGAATTATAATTTGATCAAGTCCAGTGCTTGACACTGTGTCCTTAAGACAGATTCGTCCTCTCCACGGTGCTTTCAGAATTTGGACGTCTATCTCCCAGGATGAAATGATCTACTACAAATAATAGCAGCACTACAAATTGTTTGCCTTACGAACACACTAAGTGTTTATACTCTTTCTTTCAGAAAATAAATGCAGCAAAATGCAGATATTTATAGTAGAGGATGGAGTACGAAAATTAGAGTTAAAATCCAAATGGGAGGCCAGTCTATTTATAGATGTAAAGGTGGCTGCTGGTTTTGAATTGAACAGGTATGAAACCTGTTGGTTTTGAATTCAAACAGATTTGAATCTGTTGGGTTATATTTCAAACAGATAACAAAACGGGAAGGGCCTTGTTTGGATGTAAGTTAAAAACCAAACTAGTTTATTTCGGGAAGGGTCTTGTTTGGATGTACAGTAAAACCAAACCAGTTTATTTTCGGTTTAATTTGAATTCTGGATTTTATTTTACCAAGAAATAAAATAAAATTCAAATGTTTTTGGCCCAAAAAGATTAGTATTGGGCCGAACAAGCCCAACCCAACCTCACACCACGCATTCGCGCCCAAGCCCAGGCCCAGCCCCCCCGACCGGATGGACGGCGGCAGCGGCGCGCCCTCGCGCATGTGTGGTAATTTTTGGGTCCAATGGGTCTAGCCCATTTTGCCCATAACCTCTCCCTCTAAAACACTTGGGTACCCCTTGGGGCACACTCTAAGTACCAAACACATGCCTTATAAACCCATTCAAAACTTCCCACCAAACTAATGTGGGACAAGGCTTATACAATACCTTTGGGACAAGTTGACCATACCTTAAATGTGACCGCCACATGATAAAGTTTTGATGAAAATAGAAAAAATAAAAAAATTTACTTAGAAGGGTGGTGATCAAATCTGATTCAACGCGGCATAGAACGCGTTACCACTTTGACCCGTGAAAATCGACGCACGGGGCCCACCTGAAAAATAGACCAAATTTAGGAAAAAATTCTGGTTTTACCCAGAATTTTATAACCATTTCCAACATCAGCCTTACCAAAACGACGTCGTTTTGGTGATTAATTTTGAAAATAAAAAATAAAAAATCAGGTTTCAAAACATCATTGAATACGTTCCTGTTCAGGCATGAGAGAGAGAGAGAGGGGGGGAGAGAGAGAAGGGCTGAGAGAAGGAGAGAAGAGGAGGAGGACCTCGCCGCCCCACCCCTTCCCACCCCTGACGCGTTGCTGTCGTCGTTGCCATACTCCAACATATTGAAGGACTCTGTCGCCGCCTTCGTCTTCGATCTCTTCTGCCTTCGCTGCACATTTAGTTCAATCGCATTCGCAAACCACAGATCTGCCACTTCAACACCTTCGATCTCTTTCGCCTCCACCGTCTTCCGCCGTTGTCCATTGTTGTTTGTCGGAGCAAATCAAAGATATATTCTTCTTTTTTTGTTTTGATTTCAAATCTGAACCGATCAATTTCTTGAATCTGAACAGCTGTGCTCTGAGAAAAACTCATTGATTGCTGATGATTATAGCTTTTAGAAGATAACCCATGATTTGAAGGCATCAATTTGTATTCTGTAACTGTCTTTGCTGTTGAAGAATGAAATAAGCATTTCCATTGATTAGAAATAGAGAAACAGAGATAAGAAGAAGATGAAGAAAATTCAAATCTGAAATTTGAAATTTTTTCTTTTCTTTTTTCAAAAGTTTTCTGAGATACCCATCTCAGATTTCATTGAAAATTTAAGATTTGAGGTAGAGATTAGAGAAGAAGCAAAGAGAGAGAGGAGTAGTGAAGATGTTGGTGACTATGATTTGTATTTCTTTTTCTCACTCACTGCTAGTAACTGTTGGGTAGTTGAAGTTTGAAGAATCAAATTGTACTATAGAAACAAAACAAAGCATGCTCCTTTAAATCTGTGAGGAAGATAAACTCTTTGAAATTTGTTTGAAAAAACACTGGGTCAGGAAAAAAGAAAAAGAAAAAGAAAACAGAGCATGGTCTTTGTCGTTGTTGTTTTCGGTTTTGGTTTTTTTTTTTAAATATTAAAACGACGACGCTTTCTATCCTTTAATACCAACCATTAGATCTAACTGTAGAGAGATCACTCTAGAGAAGAAACTCTAGAGGATCCTCACGCTTCTTTTGGAACATGTAAATAAGTCATTTATTAACTCATTTTAATTATATAATTTTTTTATTTAATTACACATCTTTTTATAGTAAATAAAAATAATCAACTTATAATTTATATCCAAAACAACTCTTAAGCCTCTTTTGCTACTTGATTTATCAAAAGTTAGCTTTTTTATATATAAAGACATTTGAAAAGTTAGTTTTCAGCCATTGACAAAATTATAATTCTACCGCTCATGGATCAAAATATGTTATATAGGTAAAATTGTAAATATTTTAAATTGAATAGGAGTAGTTTGGTCATTTTATTGTGACTTGACATCATAAACAAATATTAATAAAAAAAGTTAAAAGTGACTTTTTACTAACTTTCCAAATCACTTGTCTAAAAAAGTCAAACGTTTGGTTAAAAGTCAAAAAATTACTTTTTATCATTTTTCCAAAACACCCCTTAATGTCATTGGATACAACTCATAAAAGGGCTTGCACGGATCAAATTGATTTAAATTAAGCAAATTACATTAGTCTTTCTTAAAAGATAAACAAAAAAAAAGTAACTCTAGAACTTTTAACATAATTATATTAAATTTTATTAATATTTTAATTTATATAACACTTAATCTTTATTTTTATCAATAGTTTATTAGTTATAAGATGAAACATAATAGTTTTATCTTTTTTATGCAATAATATATAATATTTTACATTGTTTATTTTTTTGTTTTCACACCATCTGCATTAATTTTATTAATAGAGAGATTAGAAAAATTATATTAAAATTGTGAGATTTATTATTAATTATTATTTTTAAAACTCAAGGGGGATGAGGATAATTTACCCATGTAAATTTAGAGTGGATTAACAATTAGAGGGAAAAAAATATTAGAGTAAATTGTTTTAAAAAAATTGGAATCTGTTTAGCCTATGTAACCTATTTGGTTTAGTTCAATTTTATAATTTAAAAAAAAAATTATATAATAAGAGATATAGTGTATATTGAAACATCTAAAACAAAATTTTCTTTTATATTTTGTCTAATTATCTATCAATCATTTTATTTATTTATATATCATTGCGTTTAGAAAATATATTTATATATCATTTTCAATCAAGTTAATAAGAAGAGAGAAGTTTTTTTTGCAATCGAAAAAAACCAACTAGAGGGTGTTGTTGGGCTTTTGTGGGCCCATCATGGAATTTGTATCGATTATCCAAACTGTTCAACGGATTTATCAAGTACTTTATTTTTTTTAAAAATCCAGTTAATTAAAAATCAATTGTCACTTGATCAGACCACATTTATATCAATAATTTATTTTTAAAATCATATTTATTATTGATACAAATATGATATGATCAAGTAACCACTAATATCCGATTTATATGATTTTATACAGAGATAAAGTAATTAACGATTCGACCAATTCGAATTATTGATACTAGTTTTATGACAGGCTTATAATGCTCAACACCACCTTCTAATCTGATTTGGTCCCCTGTGAACTAAAGAAGCCGACCCTAACAGCAATGGAGTGTGATTAAAATCAACTAGCCGGGTCAATTAAACCGATAACCCAAATAATCCAGGTAATCCGTTGTCCGAAGGAAAAAGAGCCGTTGGATGCTGGAAAATCGCTTGTAACGGATAGTTTCCTTTTTCAAAACCCTCGCATTCCATTCCAAGAATCGTATCATTTCCATCTCATAAACTAAAGTAAACTAAACCCAACTAAAGAACTCTCTCTCTCTCTCTCTCTGATTTTCTCTGAAGCCCTCAACGAAGAACAATCGTATCACAAACACAATCATAATAGTGCCTGAGTCTTGGTGATTAATAATAGTCTCTATTGATTATCCGATTTTAAAAGTTGTTTGGGGCGATGGATCTAGGTTGCATGGACTTGGGTTGCATTGAAAAGCGAAGCAATGAAGTGTTTCTTGATTCCGGAACCAATCTCAACGACCCTGTAATGGCTACCTCCAAGGTTGGAAAGGTACTCCACTACTCTCTTGTATCCCAATTCCATAGTATATATACATATATATATATCAATTTCTCGAAGGTACTGTTGTGTTTGATTTACTTGAATTGAATCTGTCAACCCTAACACTTCAAATTAATCAATCTTCTTTTTTGTTCTTGCCTTTATTATTGGTAGTGTTAGCCATTACCAGTATTTGATATGTGCTTCATTTGCCATCTATTTCACTGATCATATTAATTAGCATGAGGTGCTGGAAAATTACATCTTAAGGGCAGATAATGAGTAAATTGTAATAAATAAATTTACTTGAATTGACCAAAAAGTAACTGGGTACCAATTACAAAAAAAAAAAGAGTTCAAATTATACATAAGGATATGTTCATTTAGAGCAAGGGAGGGTAAAAAAATCACCATTTAGGTTTAGGGTCTTTCCTTTAAAGAGGATCTACGGATGATTTTTTCTTTTCCCTAATTGATATTTGGGTTTTAATTTGAAGGCAAGAAAAATACATTAGAGTGGTGCTCCTCTAATCAAGTGGATGAGACAAGGGTTTGTTTGCAATCTCTTCTAGTTGATTGCTTTAAGGTTCTTAGGTTGTTCTTGTTGGAATGTGTCCCACATCGTCTGGAGTTATCCTATTGTGCTGGTTATAAGGCTTCAGTTTCTTTTTCCTTAATACTTGGGTTTTAAAGAGAAGTATGGGTTGGATTTTTCAATTTGGTATCAGAGTTTGGTTGGGCCTGTGATTGGTGTGCCGTTTGTCCGGCTAGTGTATGTTGTGGTCCAAGAGGGTGTGTTAGAATGTGTCCTACATCACTTGAAGTTGCCCCATCTGTGCTAGTATGGTTTCAGTTTTCCTTTCTTTAATATCTAGGTTTTAAGGAGAGAAGTGTGGGCTGGGCTTTTCAATTGTTAAAGGCTTTTCAATTGTTAGGCTGCAAAGATATGTTAAGGGTGTTGATTTTGTGCTATTTATTTGTAGACTGAAAGTCTTGGAGCTTGAGTTAACAAATTTTCCTCTGCTAAATTGTCTAGACATAGACAATCGTGATTAACCACCTCAACTTTTTACATCTTGTTGTATTCATGTGTTTCTTTTACTTTGTTACACAATCTATTCGTTTCTTTGTCCTTTTTTGGGATTTTACATGGATTGCTGACGTTCCTTTTTGTTGGAAGAGTCTAGTTGCCAACAATAGAATCACTTATGGTTGCTCTTAACATTACAAATCACACGATTAGGTGTGGTTCTGTATGCATCAATTTCTGTAATTGGTTTCTATGTTACTAGACTTATTCTTTGGCGTCTCTTCAGTAGCTTAATATCTTGATTTCATTGACTGTTACATTTATTATTAGTATCTATAACCATACTGACAATTTGACATAAGTGGTTCTTCTATTGGTGGATTTTATTTTTACTAGAGTTCTTTTATATAGCCTACTGAGAATTTCTGTGATATGGAGGTCATTAGAAGCACGTATGTAAGGAATACATATTTGCAGTGTAATTTTGTACAATTGTATGTTCGCAGGGACCAAATCATGAATCAGAAATGCATCATTTTATCTGAATTTTAGTTGGCTCGTCTAATTGTTTGACATTAACTGTCTTCCGCAAATGGTCCCATGCCTTATTGTTATGTTGGTATGCTGCATAAAATTGATGACGACGATAAAAAAATGTAAAATAAAAACTTTGTTATAATTAGCAGCTGGTGACAGTGTGTTATGTTTTCTCATTGTTTTCTTACCTCACTTTTTCTTGTTGGTTACTCTTTTTTTCTTTCGAAAATTGCAGAATAAGGCTTTGAAAGAATCTGGCCTGTCAAATGTGAGTTCTCTAAACAAATTTACATCACAAATTAAGAAACCCTCCCATCGAAAAAGCTCACCTCTCAACTGGTTTCCTCGCAAAAAGGTGGACTCCTACTTGAAAAGGAAAATACAACGGCTACAGGTAAATATCATGAATTATTGCATTCTTCTAAGCTGCTTTTGTTTGGAACATGGAATTGGTACGGGAAAAAGAAGAGGAAAATTTTCCCTTCTAATTTAAAAATATTAGATTGAAATATCTTTTATGAAAAGAGGAGAAAGGATACCAGAACTAAAATTTTGCCACATATCTTCATCATATTTTGTTTTTTTCCTTGTTCTCCATGTTGGTAACTAAACAAGGGCCAGTGATTTCTTTTTCTTTTTTACTCACAGTCCACAAACAAGATTTATCTCTATGGTTAATACTATTCACTTGATACAGGAAGTAGGGGGCATGAATTCAACTCTTGATGAGACTTTAGGTGACTCAAATCCTCATTATTCTAGAGTTCTGAGAGAAAAAATTGCAGTTAGGGAAGCTGCACACAAGGCAATGGAGGCTCGGAAGGCTGCAATGGTGGAAGCATCTTGGTGTCGAATACTTCAAGCAGCAAGGTAAGTGTGTTCACTCAAAGAAGTCTAAGAACATAGAAACCGATCACATAATGTATTTGAATAGACAATATATTTTAGATATGTATCCCATCATCAAATTTTGTAAAATCTTGTTTATATTTTGTACCTGGTTTTGTAATCGGTTTTTGTGTCCATAGAAGAACTGGTGTGTTCACTTGGAATGGATGGGGTCATATTTTTCTTATTTTTGCTCCCCCCAAAACAGAATCCAAAGTAAAGAAGCAGAAGCGCAGCTGTTGGAAACAGAAAAAAGTGCAGCCGAAGCTTTTGAAGCAGCAACAGCTGTTGGTGTGATCATGTATGATATGCAAGATTGCCCAAGGAAGCATTATGAGATAGAAACATTTTCTCTCAATGGAGGAGGATCTACTACTCATACCGTTACAGCTTCTTTCGAGACTGCGTTTGAGGTGGACAAACAAGTAGCAGCGGCAGTGAAAACCTCATTTGTTAAGCTTGCAAGCTGCCCTTCTATAAACAAGGATGAATTCAAAGAACTTTTGCGAAAAATCAGTGAAAATCCAGATACAGGTGAAAATAACCAGGATCCGTCGGAGCTTTCTTCTGAATATGAATCAGATAACGGATCAGAGCATGAATCTCAAGACGTAAGACAAAGGAAATACAAGAAGCAGATTTCTGAAAAGTTTAATATGCCAAAACTTGTGGACATGATGCTCGAAAGGCTTAGATGTTTGCAAGAAGGTGAACTTGCTTCTCTCGCCACTATAGTTGCAACATGTGGTTTAAACGCTGCTCTAGCAGAAGCAGAAAATAGTAAGCAGCTTGATTTAGGCTATGCTGCTGACTCTAACTCAGGTATAGACCATATGAGAAGGAAGCAAGTTGAGGCTGAACTACCTAGTTTAGACAAGTTTCTAGTCAAACACTTGACGAAACTTGAAAAAGAGGTGCAAGAAGCGAAAAATGCCAGAATGAATACACTAGACAAATCATCTGATGACGAAAAGGTGTGTTCGATTAATGATGTAAGTTCAGCTGAGACTATCCCAGACTTGGGAACCATTCTTGTGAAGCATTCTTCAAAGCTTGAGAAGGAGATAGAAGAGATGAAAAGGAATTCCGGAAAATCAGATGAAATGGAAAGCAAGAAAATATCGGAAAGAAGGCGTAGTGGGGTGGTCCGGCGTACGAAACAAGATGCCACAGATTTGCCGAGCCTAGATAAGTTTCTGGTGAGACATGTTTCGAAACTTGAAAGAGAGGTCCAAGAAGCAAAGAACAGAAGAAAATTTGAGCCAAGTGAAGGGGACAGAACTGCTGATTTGAGGAAGAAGGCAACTTCTGTTAATCAAGCACACACATTAGAGGAAGGTACAAATTCATCGAGTTCTGATAGAGACCGCCTAGTGGGAAAAGAGAATATTGATCTGAACAAAGGGGATGGTGGAGAACTGGAAATGGAGCAAAAGGAAGCTTCAAAGCCAGAAAATACCGAAGACTGTTCAGAGGAGACTTTGATTCAGATTCGACAAACAAATCCCGACACAGCAGAGATGAAAGAAACTACCGAAGACTGTACTTTGTCATCACTTCAACATGGAAATGGCGAAAGCAAAGAGAAGGAAGATAGCCTAGACAAGATCCTGGTAAAGCCAGTTCACCGGTTAGAAAGGGAAAAAATGCAAGCATTATCATTGGGAAGCGAGTATGGAATTAAGCGGTATCAAAAGAAGCAGCCTGGAGGAGCAACTGTTGGAGACTATGATAGCTTAGATAAAGTTCTAGTAAAACACGTTTCAAGGCTTGAGAAGGAGAAAATGGTGATGGGTATGAAGGAAGAAGCGGGGAGGGTGAAGAGAAGGGATCCCAACGCGCCATCGGAGATGAGTGAAGGTAGTTTGGACCAAATTTTAGTTAAGCACAAGTCCAGACTAGAGAGGGAAAAGATGGCGGCTGCTGCTCAGCAGCCTGATCACCAGGTTAAACATTCAGTGACTCGAAGAGAAGCGAGGGAGAGAGAGCTGCAAGAAGCATGGGGAGGCTTGAGTTTAGGAAACTCTGTGCTTCCACATATCTCAAGACTCGAAAGAGACAAGGCAAGTTTTTATGTGTTCATCTCTACTTTATCTTAACAATTCTAATACGAACACAAACCAATTATAGAATTGGACACAGAACAATATTTTACTAAATTTATTGATGAGAACTTTTAAAATATATTATCCCATCATCTATATACATTTTGTCCATGATTCTGTGATCGGTTTCTGTGTTCTTTGACTTATAATTGTCTTGATTTTACTGAATGGAGTGAATTTCTCATTTCTTTTGATTGAGCTTGCGTTGCTATTACCTTTCTTTTAATGGAGTGATTTTGTTTTTTTTTTTTTTTTATTTCATTTTAGGCTGCTTGGCTCAAAGCTGAAGAAGAGGAAAGGAGGAGAGATATGGAGGAGGTGTGAGGTCTTCAAGCCCAAGTCACTTCTTGGCTCAAAGCTGAAGAAGAGGAAAGGAGGAGAGATATGGAGGAGGTTCACTTCTTGGCTATGTTCTTTCTGATGTACAAATTGCAACAAAAGCTAAATCTGTTGATCAACTCTTTTTTGGGAGAAAGACAAGTTTTCTCATGCTTGAGATTGTGTGTGATGACCAGTAGTAGTATTTTCCTCCACCTTATTTTGTGTAATTACCATAAGCATTCTGTCATGTATACTATTGTACAGATGAGGCGCCTTTCCTCTCTGCTTTTGAATGTATCATATTCTGAATTTGGTTTGTCATCAACCAGTACGCTAGATCATTACGTCCTTTGGTACCTCTACTTATAAACTAGCTTATTGGCTTGAAATAAAAGCTCACAAATAAAGCTAGTGCTTAAAAATGCTAGTTCGTTTGGCATAATTTTGATTTTTTAGGATTTTCTAATGATTCTTTTTTCCAAGTAGCTTAAGTTGAATGTGTACGCCAGGAATGGAAGAAGCCAAATGAGCTTTGGTTAAAGCTGAATTGACTTATTAAAACAGCTTATTAGAACTGCTATTTTGTGTTTACCAAAAAAAAAAAAATTCACTCTCGTTCACTGCTACTTTCTCCTAGGATGTTTCTTCATTTTTCTCATAATTCTCCCTATATGCACCAATTGGTATACCAATTAATACACCAATAGATGATGTGACATAATTTTAGAAGTTTCGAGTATTTATAATTTATATGAGGTCAATAATAATGTCATAAGGCATGTTAGTACACTAATTTATATATTAATTGATACATCACCACGGTTTATTTATTTGTTTAGTGCCTGTTTGGTGCAGCTTAAAAGCTGCTTATTTCAACTTTCAACTTAATTTAAGCTATTTTGATGTGTTCGGTTTAGCTTAACAATGCAGCTTGTAGCTTTTTGTAAGTCAGAAATCAGCTTATTCTTTGAGTGGGGCAGGAGATGCTTAATTTATAAGTAAAAAATCAGCTTATGTTCATAGTTATAAGTTATAAGTTGTTAAGACATAAGGTATAAGTACTTTCCCACAACTCTACCAAACAGGGCCTTAATATTATTAAAAAGAAGTTTGATTCCACCCACTCTTGTCAACCTTTGCATTTGGTCCCAAATATTGAAAAGTAATTCCGTCAACCATTAGTGATATATTATATTTAAGTAAGTTTTTTCATTTTAGTATTATAAAGTAGGAAGGTTTATCAATTTTTTTTTTTATGATTTCTAATATTATTCTATAATTAAATCAATCCATAAGCTGATTACTAATGTGAATTGTTACGATTATTAATGGAATGTGTTTTTCGTCCTAAAAAGAAAAAATAGAGTACTCTATGCTAAAATATTTAATACAAATTTTCCTTATATGTTATATAACAAAAATAATTTAAGTTAAAAGAGGTGTTTGAGAATTAATTTTTTAAATATTTTTTGATTTTCTATAAAAAAAAATATAAAAAAAATAATTTAATAAAAATTAAAGTTGTCAAACAAGCTCTAAACTAATAGATTATTAAAAAATTGAAGAAGAATACTTTTTTTTTTGATCAATAAGAAGAATACTTTAAACACTAAAAAGAGATTATTGTACGATAATTAAGATCAATTTAAAAAATAAATATAATTAAAAAAAAAAATGATTGATCGATCAAATTTAAGTTGGTTCCAATTGTATAAGACTAACTAGGGGTGAGCAGCGGATATACCGATCCGCCAAAACCGACCGAACCAAACCAATCCGCCGCATTTTTGACGGATGCGTGATGACGAGCGGACGGTTGCGGATTGATTTTCTCAAATCCGCCAATTTGGCGGACGGATGGCGGATTTGAGATTTTTTGGCCGCAACCGAACCGCCAAACCGCCAAATCGCGAGCACCCCTAGTAATTTATAAGACTTTGTATTTTTAATTTGTTTAAATATTATATTTGTGTTTTCAATTGAAAAAGAGTTTAAATATTCTGTTGAAAAAAAGTTTTCAACTTGAATATATTTTTTGAATTGAAAAAAATAAACGTATTATTCATATATATTTTTTAGTTTTTAAATGTAACTCTAAAAATAATAAATAGAAAATATGATATATGCTGGTTGGTTTTTGTTTTCAAAAACGCCAAACCGATTCGCATCCATCCGCCAAACCGCCAATCCGCTCAATCCACATCCGCCGGATTGGCGGACGGATGCGGATTAATTTTCTTCAATCTGCCAATCTAACGGACGGATGACGGATTGGAGGTTCCGTGACCGCAACCGACCCGCGACCACACTTAAGACTAACGAAGTACTCCCTCCGTCCCAAAATATTAGTCCCTTATTCCATTTTTCATTGTCCCAAAATATTAGTCCCTCTTCAAAAATCAAGTACAAAAATAATATAAATTTCCTATTTTACCCTTCTTTTAAATTAATAAACAACATAAAAAGTACAATTATGCATTGATATTCCCAAAAAATGTACTATCAAAAGGATAATTTTGGAAAATCAACTTTTTTCAAATGCAATAATTGTACTACCAAAAAAAGTTAGATTCCCCAAAAGGGACCATTATTTTGGGACGGAGGGAGTAATACTTACGCCGGATAGAATAATCGAAGTAATACTTATCAACTGCGACCGCAACTATAATTTTTATTGAAAGAAATATTTCACCGACAATGCTACGTAGCTCAAATTTTGTGGCTCAAATGGCCAAAACGACGTCGTTTTGAGTACAGAACAACATAAAAATGGCCAAAACGACTTTGAACCACTTTTGAGCCACAAAATTTGAGTTAGGAGACATTTTCCATATTTCACCTTGTGTAACGTGTAAAACAAAGCAGACACGTGCTGGAAATTTGCTCGCCAGTCACGTCAACAAGAGGCTTCGCCTGAACTCCGTCAGTTCTGCGGCGTCAGAGAGGTTTTACAATAGAGTTTCCACACAGTCACGCCTCTCTCTCTCTCTCTCTCTCTAAATTAGGGTTTACTGAAACCCACAGTACGCAACAGAAAACCAGAGAGAGAGAAGATGAGTGCCGGCGGCTTCCTCAGAAATGGCCGCAAAAACTACACCTCCATCCACAGCTTACTGAACAGACACTCAATCGCCGATTCAATCGGATCTCAACGACAACAATCAAAGGCTTATGCTCGATTTCATAATTCGAGGAAAACCAGAGAGCTCGAGCTGTCTCGTCCTAGTATATTATTCTCATCACCCTACTGTTCCTCTTCCACTGCTGTGTCGTCTTCTTTTAAGTCTGGATTTGTAGGTTGGTATTTGGGGCTGATCAAGTCTCACCCCATTCTCACTAAAAGCATCACCTCTGCCTGTATTTACACCGCCGCTGATTTCTCCTCTCAGGTAATCAAAAATTAAACACAAATTCAAAATCCCCTCTTTTCTCTTCTTCCTGAGTGATTTTTGTGTGTGGTTGCTGAGAAAGAATTTTCCGGGATTTTTTTTTACATCTTTAATGAGCTTCATAAATATGTGTATATTTCAACTCAAGAAGCTTTGACCTAATTAATCGATGCCTATATGGTCATTTCATCAAGTTGATGATTCTATTCAAAGTTATATCTATCTTCAACTGGTGTTACTTGCTTATTTCTAATGGATTAATTTCTTCTTTTATTTATTTATTTATTTATTGTTATACCGCATGCATCCATCTCAATATTCTCATCCCAACTACACTCAGTTTTAGATTATGTTTTGTGTATGGAGGAAAGAAACAAAATTTGTGCTAACTGAGTGATTCAACAACATTGAATGTACTACAAGGATCACTGCTAAGCATCCATTGCTGAATGGCTAAAGCGCCCAACTCATAATTGGCAAATTCGTAGTTCAATTCCTACTGGATGCACGCCAATGGGACCCTACTTGGGGATGTTGAATTTTGACCTCACAACCAAACCAGATCTGTTTGCCGAGATCTCTGGGAACTAAGCCATAGAGCATGTGCAAGAATAGAAAAGCCCAACACCTGCACACAGAAAGAAACAAGAGCGGTGGCTCATCCATCAGGACACTCCAACAATCCAGTCAATCAACAAATCTCACAAATATATCGGCTCAAGTACAAAACTCTCATTTAAAGCGTATGACTCACAGGAGTGCCCTAATCCCTTAAGGTCATGTTTGATTCAAAAGACTAATAGTGAAGTATTAATAATCCTATTAAATTAGTGTAGGATTCACTATCCAATTGGATTAATATCCATTGGATTAATAATCCCACCCCTAATAATCCTACAAATTTGTTGGATTAATTATCCATTGGATTAATAATCCTAAACCAAAATGTTAAAACAAACATGAGATAATTGGGCTCACGGATTAATAATCCTAATCCCATGCTCTAATCCACCCAATCAAACATGCAAGACTTATCCTTTACAAAATAGCACTTATTTTGAATTACTCCAATTCGGATTAGGATTAACTCTCTCAAGAGTCCTGACCTATCCAAACAGACTCTTGTCCTCCATCCGATCATCTCGGATTCGGTAAGAGAACGCAAACTTGTAGTGATTTTTACAGATAACCGTTGGAATATCGATCCTAATAATTACGATCAAACAAACGAAGTGACTTTCATATGATATTTGCAACAATCGGATTTTGGCGAGACATAATCAAAGGTTCAGATAATTTACTTGTTTTGAAGAAGAGAAACCCTTTGTTGTGGTGTTAGCTTTCGTCTTTTATGTGTATCATTACTTCTTAATGTTCCACTGGCAATGCAATTGGTTGATGGGGTATACACAAGATTTGATTGTGATGGTTTGTTGAATTAAAAATGCTCGTGTTTTGAGAAAGTCTTGCAGATAACAAGCAGACTTCATATTTTTTTGCTATAGAAAATACAATGGACAAGTTATATTATTTAATCTATTTCATAGCCAGAAAGCTCAATTGCCATCACTAAAACCATGCTCAATTAATTACTGGTGTTATTTAATCTATTATAGTCTTAAGTCAATCAATTCATGTAATTATGCTAGACTTTGTCTATAGTACCAAAGCTGCCTCTCCCAGCATCCTGCATTTTCATGATCAACACTGGGTATTGGCTGCAGTTACTGGGTTTGGTTTAACTGGTCCATTTTTTAATCTTCTATTAATGGTATATTTCTTGTGCATCCAAACATTTTTGACTTGTTTAAACATGTAAGTACATTGTTTATTGTTGTCAATACAGTCCTTAAATTGAGCTGGTCTATGGTCATAAAACAACTAAGAAGACATTTTATATTAGCACCTGTATCTGGTCCTTTGGTATCTCTCTTTTTCTCTATGGATAATTGCATTACAGTGTTAGCAGAAGTGTTGATTCAAGGCATTGGTCAGCTATCAATATCAAGATGCACACTCTTTAGTTCCATGTATTGCATTGTGTCTTGTATTGGTTATATTCTTGAACCCTTCTGTTCCAAATCATTCTCTGAGTTATCCCCCACCGCCAACCCATTGCACCTGTTTCTCATTAAATCCAATTAACCTGCGTCTTTTGCAATCTATGCATTAAGAAATTCAATTTGGTGTAACCTGGAAAATAGAATCTTGCTAATCATATGTGCCAGCTTGATCTGACCTATATGATTTGAACTATATTTACTTGAATTGTATCTCAAACTTCTTTTCTATTATGCCTCTCTCTCTCTCTCTCTGGCTTCAACTCCTACAACATATTTACACTACGGTATGCTTTTCAAAAAAATTTATGGAATTCTTTTATATCTGTTACACGCTATAATAGCTAATAATCTGTGTGTACTATTGTGTGTTTGAGTATTAAATTTATTTCTGCACTCAATGAATTTCTTGGAGGAGATGGTATGTCTCTATTTCATTGTCTGTGATTTGACACATCATTAGAACTTCCATCAGACAATTGCTCGGCCATCTTCAGAACCTTATGATTTTGTGAGGACCTTACGCATGGCTGGATATGGAATGATAATTATGGGACCATCATTGCATTTTTGGTTCAACTTTGTGTCGAAAGTCCTTCCAAAACGCGACCTCATCACAACATTGAAAAAACTTGTCATGGGGCAGACATTATATGGACCTACCATGACTGTTGTTTTCTTCTCTGTGAATGCGGCCCTACAAGGTAAACCAAATTCTTTATTTATTCATATTGTTTAAGATAAGTGCTTTGTTAGGCTTATGCATGCTATGAACCTGGTGTGATTATTATGTACTATATCTCACTGGTGCTATGTCCTATGTTCTAATGTTTCCTTCTTAACTAAACCAAAATTAGAGGCATTTTCTAAGGGAAAATAATGTCAACAATATTAATTTTTTTACAGCAATGCTGTTGGCTTTATTCTACGCCTCTAAAACTGGGAGCAAAAGGAGGCAACTAGGTTGATTAGCAAAATGATTATTATTTGGTAAATGAAATATGTCAAATGCATACTAGACTAGAAAATGTACCTTTTGTACTTCATATTGGTCCTTACTTTGCATGGTTTTTAACTGTAATTTCCATAATATTTATAAATAAATAAATAAAGTTGGAATGCCTTGCCATATGTCCATCATAAAATTAAGGGATCTTGGAATAAGGACCCTGCCCTTCTTCAATCCCCTTACAATGGAAGTTGAATTTTCACTTTTTGACATGGTTTATTACTTTGAGATAATCCTGATCAAATATTATATGGAGGAGTGGTTTGGTTGGTCAATGTGTTCATTTGCAGTTTATTTATGTACATATATTTTTATTTTAGACGTCATGCAGGCACAATGTGTGCGATCTTTGCTCCACTGGGTAGAGAGAGATGATAAAATGTCTTGGACATGTGGGGGACGTGAGCGAACTGGGGGAGGAATTATCGTGTTATAGGAGGTAATGCTTTATTCATGTACTGTGAAAAAACAACAATACTATAATACATAGATCTAAGAACTGACCACATAAGCATTCACAATCCTGTGAAAAAACCTGGACTGTGCATATATATTTGGAATTGAATGTTGATTCCATTTCATGCTGGTGTATCTCCTAACCTATTATTTATATATGTTCATGTGCATACGGACACATCATATATGTAAGTAGTTGGAGTTGCACAAGTGCAACATTGTATGTTTTTGAAAAACACTAACTATTCTTATCAAAGAAGGCGCCTAGTTTCCCTGAATGATGCGACCTAGATATTGCTTCTCTGAATTGTGTGCAAATTATTTATGTTGTTTCATTGGAACATCGTCATGATGTGTTTCCATTGTTGCCAACCACAGGTGAAAATGGTGAAGAAATAATTGCTCGATTGAAGCGAGACTTGCTTCCTACAATGATGAATGGAGTTATGTACTGGCCTATATGTGATTTTGTGACATACAAATTCATCCCTGTTAATTTACAGGTAAGCATGAGTATGGGTTATATGCATATTAGAAAGGGACATCATACCTAGTTTTAAAAAAATATAAAATATATATATTTTTTTTTACACAAAATTTGACTTCTTTTCATCTTTAGTGAACGTCTTAAAATATGTTTTGTTTTGTACACTTTTTTGATGAAGTTTGGCTTATTTTCGTCTTGAGTAGACTAATTTTTAGAATCATCTAATCTAGATGGACCTAAAATATATATATATATATATATATTACTCAATTGAAAAAAGTTCAGCAAAGACAAATAAGTTAGCTTTTTAATTCTAGGCAAATTTTCTGATTATCAACTTACATAAAGCTAAACCAAATGAACCCAATGAAGATTAATAAGTGGTCAAACCGAGGAAATCTCTTGGCAGTGCATCAATATCATGGGGATAATCTTGTCAACTCATACCTTTTGTTTTGGTGTTTTGCAGCCACTAGTGAGCAATTCATTTTCATATTTATGGACTGTTTACATTACGTACATGGCAAGCTTGGAGAAAGCAAGCACCATCGGTTAATAGATGATCCAACTGCTCTGATTCCCTCGCTAATGCTTCAGATCATACTCATCACACAACCTCCTGTGCATCATTTGCAGTACAATCATATGAACCAAACTCAATGAATGCATCTTCAAAGTGATGATGTGAATCTAAGGTTGAAGGAGAAGAAGAAGAGCCCATACATTTTCATCGATCGAGCAACTGCAATCATGTACTTTTGTGATAAACTCTACCGTTTTAGAATTGTATAATTATATTCATTTTCTATGTTTTTGTGTAGTAGCAGTTTAGTGGTAGCCTCTATTTCATTATTAACACATTGAATTAGGGTAAAAAAACTGATTATTTATGATAATTATCGTGCCGTCATGGAAATATGAGTCCATTTTTGTTTCTTCCCACGTTCTCAACAAGTGAATATTGCTCTCTGGATGATTTTAGTATCATGACAAACTATTGCTAGTATCCAACTTAAGCTTTTAAATTGCTGTCGAGGAGGCAAGAATCGATGATCATTTGGTCGTTAAGTGCTTTGCACAAAAATATGGTATTGACATGAGAGGTATGGAGGAAAATTCATTCCAATTGCTCTATCTTAGCTCCGTTTGTAATTTATTTGTTGTTGCCCCCATTCGATAGCAAGGCCTGTCAAGTAGAAGTCGGAAATGCTTTTCAAGCATGGTTTGTCAAGTTCAGTGCTTACCATTGGAGATTCAGATTTAACTCTACACAACATTAGGAAAAATTTTCACATGCAATTTGCCCGACTTCATTTTTTCCAAAATTGTTGTGTAGGAGTAATATAATAATTTAATCCATCTGCAGCCTACATTGTTGGTGGCAGTGTAGGCTGCGGTGCTGCAGCAGCCGTTGCTTTTTGACTTTATTTTTTTATTTTTTATTTTTTTTGAAAATCAATGGCAGCCATTGCTTTTTGGCTATTTTCTCATTTAAGGCTAAAATAGCCTCATTCACAGCTTCCCAAACACCCCCTAGATATACATATAACAGAGGAGAAAGCAAGTTGGGATTCTTTTTTTTTTTAAGATAGCTGCAAATGGGGATTCCAAACTGGACTTGAAACTTGGCTGGTTGAAACCTAAACAAAACGAACTAAAATTGTATTAAAAGGCGCCAAGAGGAAAAAGGCTCAACATAAAAATTGATCCAATCTATAAAATCTACAAAAGCAAAGGAGGATTCACAAAAATAAATAAATAAATAAATTTGCTTTACACCAAAAATGAGAATTATGCAACAAATCCTCAACTCAACAGAACCCTAACCACATCACAATAGAATAGCAAATGATCATCTGCCTCTACTCAACACAAACAACATCAGCTAGCTGGTCTGAAGCCCCTCTTCGTTATGTATACATATAACAGAGGAGAAAGCAAGTTGGGATTCTTTTTTTTTTTAAGACAGCTGCAAATGGGGATTCCAAACTGGACTTGAAACTTGGCTGGTTGAAACCTAAACAAAACGAACTAAAATTGTATTAAAAGGCGCGAAGAGGAAAAAGGCTCAACATAAAAATTGATCCAATCTATAAAATCTACAAAAGCAAAGGAGGATTCACAAAAATAAATAAATAAATAAATTTGCTTTACACCAAAAATGAGAATTATGCAACAAATCCTCAACTCAACAGAACCCTAACCACATCACAATAGAATAGCAAATGATCATCTGCCTCTACTCAACACAAACAACATCAGCTAGCTGGTCTGAAGCCCCTCTTCGTTATGTTGTCACGTGTAAAGATTGAGTCAAGAACAGCAGCCCAAACAAAAAATGCTATCTTTGTAGGCATACCTACCTGACTTCCCGAGAATCTTCAAAGGGAAAGAACTCACCCTCACAGTGATCAACTGCTGTCAAGTACCAATTTTCATTGGATTGTGATCCCATTCATAGTTTTCTTCATAAGGTGAGTCCGCAATTCAAATGCATCAATAGGATAAAATTCCTAGCCCTATATGCTAGAGTTACATTGATAGGTAATACCAACTGAGCATATAAGGAACACAAACTTATACATGATGGATGAATTGATATGATCATGATCAATACAACAAGAAGAAGAACAAATCATTCAACATCAAGTTCTATAGCCATTTATTGAGCAGAAAAAAAAAAAAAGAAAAAACAAAAAACAAAAAAAGAAGAAAAAGAAAAGAAAAGAAAGGGCAGAAGAAGAAGTTCCATAGGAATTTTAGTTGATGAACCTAGTAGCTGTAACAATTTTGGAACTAACCAAAGCTTCATTCCATGGAAAACTCAATACACAAGGAACAACAGGTATCAATCGAAGAATTATGCTGAAACTCTTGAGAGGGTGAGGTTTCCAACAATATGAAAATGTATAAATTGACTGTATAAAAATGTTTCATCCCTAACATCTATATCGCTGCCATCTAAAGGCAACCTAACTAAATAATCTGAAACTTCCCATTGCATTCACAACTTATTCGCTTTCGCAATGGCGTTGAATGCCATGTAAGCATTGGAGATCAAGATTCATGTAATATTTGAATCTTCAACAGAAAAAACGGTTAAGTCTTGTCTCCTCCCTTCATGGTGAACTTTGAACTCGTGCCCTGGCCTATATCAAACCATTGAGTAGGTTTTCGGATTAGGCTTTGTTTATTCCTCAGAAGCACGTGAGCAGATCTTCTCAATTTGCATTGGCCAATCTTCTCCAAGTATATGAGGACTTGATTCCATTGAGACACGGAAATCCAACATAGAAGCATAAATGGATTGGGATGGTCTTTCCATGTATCTCGCGGGAAAAAATCCATTCATACCATGAGTAATTTGACCATTTCCACATCTTGATCTAGCTAGTCCCATACAAGGTTCAATCAACCTCTTCAAATACACATCCAATCCATTATTCAACAGGTTTGCACAGTCCACTGAAATGTGAAGGCCCTCCATCTCTAGCTTTCGCTCTAAACGACTCCTAAGAGATCTAGTATCAGGTAGCTCAACGCTATTTTGGCAGGTCTGTAGATGAAAATTACACACTGACCCATTAAAAATAGTTTTACGAGAGCCACTAAAGTTTATGGAAATACCAAAAGGAGCCGTAACAGGGCTTCTGCTTTGGACACCGGGGCTTCCGGCAATCTGTTCAACCTCCTCCCCGTCTTCGACTGATGCCACTTCAATAGGAGGTCTGCTACCAAGAGAATGCAACTCAGTTGCGCTTTGCTGCTCCTGTACCCTCGGAACCACTTCCTCACATGTGGGACCGTGGGTTTTCCCCAGCAGTCCAAGAGGACTTGGACGGTCCCGAAACTTCCGATCCCTATTCATCGCAGACCTACCCTTCCGAGGGGATGGAGGAAATGCTTTGCCATAAAGAGATTGAAGACTATTTCTCTGATTACCATTGGTAACTTTAACATTTAGGGATTGTTCTCCCCTTCTAACTTTCGTTGGTGGAATGTTAGCTAGACAAGCGTTCTTGACAATGGATCGAATGAGACGATTGTGAAGAGAGATGTGATCCCTTCCAATTGTTCGAACACAAAACTTATCAAACTCATTCTTATTAATCTTTGAACTAAACAATCGTTGGAGTTGATCGAAGTATTTCTCCGCTCTTTGATGGCCAATCTTTCGATAAATAAGACCTTTCAGCTCCAAAGTGTCAATTCGAGCCATTTTCCTTCCAACTAACTAACAATTACCAGTATCAAAACCCCAGCAACATTCCAGGAACATACGAATGTGAAAAAACCACAATTTCCAATCTGTACTTGAAACCCTAATTGCCAAACACTGGTTTCATCTGTACGTTTAAAACAATTGCAACAAAAAAACAAAAGTAGTCACAATTATGGACTAATCGCATCCTGAAACTACAAATAAGAAAAACCATATAGAAATTGGGGTTAATTTCACTCTGTTAAACTATTGTTATATTTTCTATTTCATCCTTAAACTATCAATTTCATTTAATTATTTCCTAAAGAAATATAATTTCAGTTCCATTTGAAGTCATAATATTGAAAAGAAAACAAACCCAACTTAAATGGATAAAATGATAATTTTATAATTTGAAGAACCTAACTCATGTAACTAAATACTAAGCTTCTTACTTATACTATATTAAACAACTTAAACCATCTCCAATCCATACTCAAATCTTTCATCAAATTTAAATTTGATGAAAATTTGGTAAAACAGTGCTCCAACCGTTACACCAAATTTTATTAAATGAAGAGAGCCTTACTTTTTTCATCAAATAAAAGGAGCGCTTAACTTTTCATCAAATCTTACAAGTGACTGTTGGTGGACGACCGGATGAATGACCGGTCGGTCAACCGTGTGAACAATTGGCCGGACAACCGGGTGGACAACCGGCCAGAAAATCAGGTGGACAACCAGATTGAGAAAAATTTGAAGAAAATTTACACTAGGTTGGACGATTGGGATTGCCCGAACATCCTCTCGGTCGTCTTTCTGGACGACTGGTTTGATGAAAATTTAAATTTAGCATCGGAACGTTTGGTATTAGTTGAAGCTTTTAACCCAAATCTTTACTCAAATTTAAAGGAAAAAAAGAAAAAGAAAAAGAAAAAGAAAAAGTAAGCGTTGGAGATGCTTTTACACCCAACAACCAAACCCATCTTCTTATCCAACCCTCACATTAAATTAGTGAATTAAAAATAAAAATAAAAATAATTGAGTGTTTTAAAATGACATTATTGCCCATAAAATTAGGATTTAAGTTTTAACTACTGATTTTGATAATTGTCTCCAATTGTGCTACATTAACCTTAATTCAAAAATTTGGAGACTAAAAGATAAAATTAATAGTTTAATTTTATTTAAAAAAAAAAAAAAAAACTGCAATAGTATAGGGGATAGAGGTGAAATTAACTCTAGAAATTTAGCTCATTCAAACAACTACAACAATCTAAAGAACTAGACAAAATGTAATATCAAGAACTAGAGACAGAAAGCAACAGAAACAAATCAAACAACTTTCAGAGTTACAAACCCTTAACTCTAATAAGCAATTGAATATTACCACAACAAAAAAGAAAAAGAAAAAAAGAAGAAGATGCAATTGAAACCCATTTTATAAATTTCAATGAGAAACCAAAAAATCGAAGAAAAAACATGCTAGAAGAACTGAAATTCGATCAAAATTGAGGGGAATTTAAAGTGTGTGATTGTGAGAAGTAATTGAAACCCTCTTGAGATTACGATGAAACATGAAAACCCAGTAAACGAATTGAGCAATGGAAGAATGTTGAGAGAGAGAGATGGACCTGATTCGAGGAATTTGAGATTGGATTGGCATTCGATTTCAGCGTTATTTTTGCCCCAAATCCAATCGTCTGTTAGATCGAAGCCTTGTCTGTGTGTGTTTTTCATGCTATTTACGTTAATGGGAACAGAACAAACATGGCATAAGCCTTGTCTGTGTTTTTTTTCATTTTTCTTTTTACCCTCACTCAATACATTAAAAAAATTAAGGATAAAATTATATTACTTTCTTTGACATTTGAAAAAAATAATAATAATAATCAACTTGTTTGGTTCTAATTTTTAGAAAATAGTTTTCAGAAAATTTTATTTTTTTATTTTTCATAATTTAATCTTTTCAATGAATTTTTTTAATATTTTAAGCATTTTTTTTAAAATTTTTTTGACACATTTAACATAAATACAATTAAAAAGTACAATATTTGTAAAAAAATATTTAAAAAATACATTAAATATAAAAAAAAACAAAAAAAAGGGAAAAATATATATTTTAATATAAAATAACATAAATACATTTTGACACACCTAACATAAATACATTTTTTAATTTTTGTGTATTTATTAATTTTTTAAAATATTTTTTCACAAATATTTTATTATTTTAGATACATCTAAGTAAGGTACATCTAAAAAAATAAAAAAATTATTTAAAATTTTAAAAATATTAACTAAGAACAAAAAAATATGAAAAACAAAAAACTCGATTTTCAGAAAAATTAAATTTAAAAAATTAAAACCAAACACACTGATTTTCTCAAAATTTAATCTAATAAAAAAATATTAGTGTAGGGTACAGATTCATTCTAAGTGTGAATTTTATTATACAAGAATTGAATTTGGATCACATATTCTTTTCCTTGGTAAAATTTTGAAAGTCTTATTATTCCAAGAATAAGATAATTTTGAATTGTTATGTTCGTTAAATTAAAACATTGAAGAAATCTCTATGTAATTATGTCAAAATTATAAGAATTATTCATTGTATTTAGTTTTAATTTTTTTGAAATAGTTTTTCGTTTTTTGTTTTTGTTTTTAGTGAATATTTTTAAAATTTTAAGTAAATTTTGACTTTTTTAGATGTACTTTAGATGTATCTAAAAAATAAAATATTTGTAAAAAAATATTTTTAAAAATTAATAAGTACACAAGAATACAAAAAAAATGTATTAAATTCTCGTATTTTTTTTTATATTTTTGATATTTGGTGAATTTTTTTTTTAAAAAAATCACAAATATTATACTTTTTAAATATATTTATGTTAAGTGTGTTTAAATTTTTTTAAAAAATTACTTAAAATATTAAAAAGATTCAGTAAAAATAAAAAAAATATGAAAAATAAAAAATTATAATATTTTGAAAAGTAAGTCCTGAAAAACCAAACGAAAGAAATTGATTATATTTTCTTTAAATTTCAAAGAAGGTCAATATAATTTACCTAAAAAATAATTGTAAAATTTGACAATTACTGTTTTACAATTTTTGTATATATATATATATATTTTTAATCTAAAAGTTGATGCACTTAGCAATTATTTAAGAAATTATTTTTTAAAAAAATTTCAAAATTAGATTTTTTTCAAAAAAAAAAAACATATTAATCTTATAATATCGTATCGAGCATGAAAAGTACAGTAAAAAATTTAAAAGAATTGAGAGTAAAATCATCCTTTTTATAAATTTGTTAAAAAATTGCTTTTTATGGTCTTCGAAACAAGTTTTTGATTTTTTAATATTAATAAAATAAAATAAAATAAAATAAGCCTAGTATTTATTTAAGAGACTCCAAACAAAACTAGAGACAGGTGTGTTTGATTGGACGGATTGGAAAATGGGGGATTAGAATCCATCGGACTTGAGTCCTGGGACTGTGAATCCTCCGGACTATTTGGTTGGATTGGATATGTATCCTGTGTTTGTTTTTTCATGAGATTAGATGTCTGGATAAGACTATTTTCAGTGAATCTAACGTTTGGTTGGACGGACTGGATAGGATAAATGAACAAAAGACTATTTTACCATTTTTCAATTGTTTACTATGTAATAGCAATATTAAACATATCTTTAATATTTTAATTATTTTTAGTAAACATTAAACATACTAATGGTTAAATTTTGTTTAAAGATATTTAAACATACTAATATTGATAAAAAAATTTGACTGGTATAGATTATTTTTATTTAAACAAATAAAAATTTATTGTTGAAATTAAACATACTAATGGTTAAATGTTTAAATTTTTATTTAAACAATTAACATTGAAATTATTTTGATGTACAGATTATGTTTAAACAATTAACAAATGTTGATGTAATTAACAATTAACAAATGTAGATGTAATCAAATGTTGACGTATTAAAACATAATTTAATAGATGTTAAATAAATATACATGTTGATGTACAAATGTTTAGATAAAACATAATTTAAATAAATGAAATTATTTATTGTTGAAATTAAACATTTAATTGTTTAAATAAAACATCTATTAAAACATGTATTAAATTTAAATAATGAAATTAAATAAAACATAAACAAAATTTTAAAATAAAACATCAATAAAATATCTATAAAAATTTATTTTAAAAAATTAAATAAATAAAACATTAATAAAAAGTTAAATAAAATTATTTTATTTTTAAATTGAGACATTTAAATTTTATTAAATTTTATTAAATATAATACATAATTAAATAGTAGAGGGTCAAAATGGTCATTTTCGTATATAATCCAAACAGTGATTAGTCCCCCACTTTATGTCCCACCCCCCAGGACAGGATAGTCCCCCATATGAGGGATATGGAGTCCGGCCGGACATGGAATCCGCCGGACTAAAAAAAAATCAAACGACGAATAAGGTGCACTATTTAAATTACAATCCAAATAGTGAATAATCCCCCTCCTAATCCTCCCAATCAAACATATGTATTCAATAAACTATTTTTGAAAATTGATTGCTAGAAAATTGCTGGGAGATTGGCGGGGCCATCAAAATCACCCGCGCCATGTCAAATTTTGAGGCCTCAACAAGGCACGTAACCACAAGGACAAGGGTAAATTTCTCTGACTACCCTCACTCAGTGCCATAACAGAATTTCAGCAAAACCACATTTTTTTATGAGGAGTGATGGAGACTTTCTCCAATCACCACCGCCACCATCCCCCACACACATAACCAAAAAAAAAAAAAGAAAATCCAACCAATGAGAGAGAGAGGGGGTCAAACGGAGTGGGGAAAAAAGGGCGCCTTAGACATTTTTTTATTTATTTACCATGTCAATACGATCAAATTACTTACAAATCTTTAAGGCATTAACTTTAAGAAATTAGCATTGTGAAGCAGTTTGAAGCCACATATACAATCCCTTTACCCAACCAAACCCCTGAAGAGACTACGAGGAAGAAAATTTAGAAAAGACAGAGAAACCACACACACCCTATTTGCTTGAAGTTGAGCCCTCAGCTTCAATATTTCCCACTTGTGAAAATTCTACAGTCCGGAATGGCGGCGCTTTGCCAAATTTCAACAGGTATGCAGTTTCATAAACAGGCCGCAGTGCCAAAATCACTTGAGCATCTAAATAAGAATCGCACAAGAAACACCAAACTGACAGATCACTGTTTCCAAAAGTAAACAAAAAAATGAGTGAAATAACAGAAAATAGTAAAGGAAGAACAGATCATTCTTTAAATGTTAATAGAATACCTGTAGCTGAGTGCCACACAATGACTGGTTTCCCAATAATGCTCGAGCATGTGCTTGTTGATAAAACGGCTACAAAGAACATCCTTGCAGTATAAACATAACCAATTCTCTTTGGGGTGGTGGCACCTTTAGCAAGTTGGAGGATAGGTAAGAAATGCAAACACATCAAAGTAGGAATTCTAAAACAAAGGTATTAATGCAATGATTAAAATTTCCAATATTGCTAATTCAAAACACTTAATGGCAGCTTTAAGGACTAAACAAAAGTTGTACCAAAACAAAAGCGACAAATCCATCAAAGTGGTGTTTTGAGAAATTGGTAAAAAGCTGGCTTTTTGGCTTTTTTGTAGCTTTTTTGACTTTTTTGTGTAAAAAAATAGAGCCATAATATGACACAAAAAAGCCAAAAGGCAGAGATGTGAGTGAAGAAGATCAGGACTGGAGAGTGGATTCTCATGATCTCGATCCTCGTCTGACTGTTTGAGAGAGTGAGGGTGAGAGTGAAAGATCAATCAATTGAGAATGAGAACAAGAACATGACAGCAAAAGCCTAAGAATGAGGGTGAGAGAGAGGGAGAGTTGACTGTTGGTGACAAAGTTTAGAGATCGTGAAAGTTGAGAGAAGAAGAGTCACTGCAAATTTGTTAGAGATTGCAGATTGATGAAGGGCATGTGGAGAAGAGATGGACAGACTGTTGTGATGAAAACCGGTGGACAACTAGGATGAAACACGCTGAGGGAGGGTTTATTAAACCAGTCCAGTTTGGCCTCAAATGTGTAAAACCAAAAACTGAACCGCCGAAAAATCTTGATAAGGAAACCACACCGACCAATCTGAACATACAAAACAGACCGAAAAACCAGTCAGTCCAGTCGGTGTGTTCGGTTCATGCGGTTATTTCTTCACCCCTAACTAATATAGCTAAGGCATCAGTTCTTTTAATATTAAATTTCACTTACAACCCATTGTACTCCAACTTCTGTTGTAATTAATTTTGACTTTTATAAATAAATTCCAAAAAACTTATTCTCAAGCAGACCAATGTCCTTTACCTACTAGTTTACAACAATCTGCCAAATGGCAGCAGATTCAACTGAATTATGTGTGTTCCGTAGTAGCTACCATTCCATGATAATTGAAATAACCAATTTTTATCATACACTACAAAGAAGCAACAAAATTAGCAGACAAATCGTGGGCACCCTAAAAAACCCATAAGTTTCAACACTAAAATACAAGAGCCGAAAAAGTCAAAAAAATATTTCACAGAAAAAGAAAAAAAAAAACACCATGACAATTCTGTAAGAAGGTGGCTTGTGCCTTGGTGTACTCATATGCAATAATCTCTCAGGCTGTGGCTTGGAACAATTCTCCCGAATACTAACGTTCAATTTGCTGTTGTACAACATCAATTGATAGCATTCCATAGAATTTTGTCACTTGTTACATGAATTATCTTAAATTAAGCTATGGAGCATTACAGCAAAGGAATCAACTGATTAAAAATCTGTAAAAATATAAGCATCAATTGATTAAAATCTGTACGGAGAAAATGCAGAACAGTTTGATGAAAAATCCTATGCTAGTATCAAACAATAAAAACATTAGAAAAAAAAATAATAACAATAAGGCAGCTTAAATTTAACAGTAAAACTGATGATTGGAACAAGCATTGATCCTAAAACCAACATGAGAAAATATGTATGCAACCTCTCTCAATATAACAAGCCTCGTATTCTTAAATCGATTCAGAAAGAACTTACAAAGTGGTTCACACATTAGCTTGTCTAACTAGCTTTGAGTCTGACAACAACAAATGGTAATCCCAAATTAATTTGTTGGAATAAAATTTGATTTTTTTTTTTTAATGGAAAAAACAGGATTGATCTTTGCTTGGTCTAATTAGGCATCCCACTGATGTCAAAATTAAATAAAACACTAAACTAACTCGGCTGAACAATTTCACAAGAATGAATTGAATTTATTATGATCCATTTCTTCTATGTTCCAATTTTTTTTTTCCCCCTCAGCAACCATTTTTTTTTTTTTTTTTTTCCTCTCAGCAACCAAACAGGCGTGTATAAGCACAAACTCCAGATTTCAAAAGAGTATGAAAGTAATAGCCAGCCACCCAAAATCAATACAATACAAACCAATTGAGGTTTTCTAAATCATATATATACGAGTGAGTGAGTGAGTGAGTGATAAGGGTTTAGTAGGGGGTTTAAGGAAGAGGCATTTGCGGACCTGTTGCAGTGAGAATCTGGGGTTGGAATGTGAATGAGATCGGAAGCCAACGAAGCCAAATGATCGCAACTAGTTAGGGCTTCGACCCAGCCAGACTCCGACCCGTATAAGGGCTCTTCTTCATCTCCTTCCAGCACCATACTAGTAGTAGTAGTGGTAGTAGTAGTAACACCAACACACGACGATGATGAAGCTTCTTCTTTGTTCGCCATTTATGGACCGGACTTTACCTAGGTTTCGTTCTTCTCATTTTTTTGTATTGACGGTCAACCTTTCTCACCACGTCGTCATTTTAAACTGCGTTTCATTTCAGTTTTCTACATTTAATTTTTTGAAAATTGAGATTCTTATTTTTTGAATTTTTTTATTTTTTTATTTTTAATGAATATTTTTAAAATTTTAAATAATTTTTTATTTTTTAATTTTTTTTTAAATGCATCTTACTTAGATGTATTTAAATAATAAAATATTTATAAAAATTAATAAATATATAAAAATAGAAAAATGTATTGATTTTTCGTATTTTTTTTATATTTTTTAAAATATTTTTTTCATAAATATTATATTTTTTAAGTGTATTTATGTTAAGTGCGTCTAAAAATTAAAAAAAAAATTGTTTAAAATATTTAAAAAATATTAAAATATGAAAAATAAAAAAGTAGAATTTTTTAAAAATCAAAACCAAACAAGCTGATTATTATTTCTGACAAATCTATATAATATGGTAGGACGGTTTTTTAAAACATCTCAAAATATATTAGAGATACATTTTGAATCAATGGTTCAAATTATTTCATCTAACAATTTAAGGGTCAAGATGGTGCTTTACTTTTGCTTTCTCCCAAAATATATTTCTCTCTTTCTCTCCTTTTTTGAGCCTTTTCACCTATCCACCCAACCATTCTCCCTCTTTTTTTCTGGATTTGGGGTCACTGCTGTGGTAAATACACAGCAGTGATTGTTGTGGTTCATTTTGTGGTGCATTATGGGATTATTTTTATGATCTGAACCGTTCATTTTGTAAGGTTTGTTGAGTACTTCAAGCCTACCAAAAATCATATTAATCGGATACCAATAACTATATGATTGATAACCAAAAAAACAAACAAGAAGTTTTTCTTTTAAAAAATAGTACAAAAATATGCAATTCGATCATATAGTTGTTGATATCCGATTAATATGATTTTTGGTAGGCTTGAAGTACTTAACAAATCCTACAAAATGAACGGTTCAGATCATAAAAATAAGCCCATAATGCATTACAAAATGAACCACAACAGTCATTACTGTGTATTTACCACAGCAGTGACCCATAATCCTTTTTTTTTAGTCTTTTCTCAAATTTCAAGTATAGTGCACTACTTTTTCCAATACAATTGTCTTTTTTGAAAAAGAGTCTTTGGCTTCTTTTTTTTTTTTTTTTTTGTGTGTGTTTGTGTATAAAATGATGTTAGACTTTTAAAAGTATCTCTTGGGACAAAATTTGACTGCAATTTTAAAAATAAAAATAAATAAAAAACTTGGACAGATCACAACAACAACAAAAATCTTAGAGTTTGATCATGGTAATAAAATAAAGGATTATTTACCAATAAATCCTACTTTACAAACTGTTATACCAAATAGTCCCACTTTTATTCTATTATACCAAATAGTCCTGCTAGTGGGTTGATTTGGTCTTTTTTGTTTTTTTTTTTTCCATTTTTTTAAACTGTGTGGATGAGGGTGCGTTGGTTTAATGTGGGATTGTGTTTGCTGGATCAGTTCCTTTTTTGGAAGCATTGCTCATTCTATCACTGTGTGTGTGCGTGTAACAATGGCTGCTGTGTGTGTGTATCTTTGTGTGTGTGTGTGTATCATTGTGTGTGTGTGTATCATTGTGCTGTTGTGTGTGTTTGTGTATCATCGTACCCCAGCCTTTTCATCACCGAGTAAATCGTATCCAACTGTGCATCAAACATGGCGTAGTCCAGAGTATTCGATGTGAACCCGAAAAACGGGTATGGGCAGACCATGAAGGGCGTGTTTGTTTGGCGATGGAATTCAAGGATTGGGGCAAATATGACCCGGTCGAAAACCCGCCTGAATCGACCCGAACTGGGTGGCTCCGAGATTGATAATATACCTAGTGAATTAGGTGTGGAGACCTGAATGCTGGATATTTCGGCAAGATTGACGGCGGCGTGGAGAGATTTCATAGCGGGGAGGAGGTGGGCGATGACGGTTTTGTCGGCGGTGGCAATGACTTCGTTCCCGACGACGATGCGGTGGATTTTGGCGGTGGGGTAGAAAAGAGGATGTTGTTAGCCACATAGGACACGGCGGCGGAGAGTTTGGAGACGACGGGGATGTCGGAGTTGGCGACGGTGACGGTGGCGTAGATGTCGGAGTTGGCGAAGGCGCGGAGGATGTCGGGGTTGGTATCGAAGATCTTCACTGTGTCAATGGTGGTTTGGTCTTTGATGAATGTGTGTGTGTCTGCCTGTGTGAACCCCCAAACACACCAACCCAGCCCAAAACAAAAAACCCCTTACAGCGCGTTGTGTGTGCTGTGTGTGTGTACCAGTGTGTGTGTGTGTGTGTGTGTGTATCAGTGTGTGTGTGTTATGCGCTGGGTGTGTCTTAGAGGGAGAAGAGAGAGCTGGGTTTGGTGTGTGCTCTGTGTGTGTGTGTGTGTTTTGTGTGTATGGTGTGTATGAGTGTGGTTGCTGGGTGTGTGTGTTAATGGCGTTTTGTGTGCATGGTGTCTTGTGTTTGCTAGAGAGAGAAGATATGTGTGTGGCTGGGTCTCCATGTGTGAGAGAGAGAATGCTAAGAGAGATGAGTGGTGTCTAAATGAGGGTAATTACGTCTCTCAAAATTTTCCAGGACTAAACGGTTTACTAGAATAAAAATGGGACCAATTGGTTCATAAGTTTACATTTTGGGATTTATTGGTAAATCTCCCATTGAAATCTAGTGATTTTAATTTTTTTAATTTAAACCCTTATTGTTTTTAATCTAAATTATTTGTCTATTTTTATTAAATAAAAACGACATAAAAAGTATATTTTAGCCATTAAACTTAATGTTGGTATACATAAAATGTTTAAAATATCAATTTTTTTTTAGTTTAATGGCTAAAATACCATTTTTTCGTTAATTTTACTTAATACAAATAGATAAATAGTTTAGATTGAAGATAAATCAAAATATTAGGGTTTAAATTGATAAAATTAAAATCTAAGGGTTTATTTTGTTATAAGGGTCAAATCCTAGGAGTTTTTTTTTTCTTTTTCATTTTATAATTTCCCGGTAAAACTTTAACCAAATTATTATTGATTTTCTTATTAGTTGTTAAAAATTAAATAATGTTCAAAAATTTAAATTTTAATACACATTTTACATATTCTTACACACTTTTGTATATGTACATACATGTTTACATTTTTAATATAATCTATATATACTAGTGTATGCCAGTGCCTAAAGGCACGATATAATTATAATCAAACCCAGTTGCACTAGTCAGTACAAAAAGCAAATGTTAAAAAAAAAATGCAAAAAAAAAAGAAAAAAAATTCACATAACCTTTGCCTCAAAATCCCTCTTCCTTATTTATTTATTTTTGACCTTTCCTATACTAACTATAAAAACCTGTAACGCCCTCAAAATAAACCCATAATAACCATAACATTAACATGAAATCTCAAAAATAACAAAATAAAACATATAACTAAAGACAAGTCTTCAAAATCCCAAACATCAAATCCTTCCAGGCTAAGTCCGTGGAGGTAGCTTATCACCTGAACCTGAAAATGATGTTCCCATAAAGGGTGAGCCACAGCCCAGTAGAAAAATACTAAACCAAATATAAGCATTGAATAAAACTATAGCATTCAATAGATGGTTAACCAAGATAATCAATTACATCATTATACAGTTTCATGACACTAATGTCAATGACACGTTTCACTTTTCTTTATTATCAATATGGCTCAGAACCTGGCCAAACTTACCACAGTGAACTATATATGTTATATTCACATTACTTCCAATATCAAACAAACAAATGAGACTCAGGCTCATATCAAAACACTTCATACTTCCCGTTTGATACACATTTTAGTGCTGTATCAATGACATGTAAAAACACTTCAATATAATAAGCACACATAATAGTGATGCTAATGGAGTCCATCCCCTATCTCCTCCCAAACAAAAATGCATATACAATGTATTAAACACTCGTCATATACAACACACAATCAATACATGTATTTTCTGTATTAATTCAACAGTCTAAATCAATGACTTAACCAATGTGATTAGTTTCAGTTATACCTAATCCACATGCATTGTCTACAACAATCACGACTATCCTCCACCGATAGCCCAAAACAGTTATTTCTAGACTAAAAAAATAAATATATCACAATTTCAATAGGCGAGTGATTTTAAATTATCCAACTATACACCATTTAATCAATGAATTCCTCAATTTCATGCATTTAACCAATTTTTCTCAATTTCCTTAAATTAATTATACAAATTAATTAATTTAAACAACTAGGGGTTTTCCCAAAATTATCAAAGTAGCCCCAACTTATCAAAATACCAAAACTTAGAACAAAACTTATAAAATGGAGTAGGAAATCCCTACCTCGAAGAAAATAACCCGAATGGAGAAGACAAAGATGAATACCCAAATTCCGATGTGCTCCAAATCACCAAAAGTTCAGATTAGATGGAAGCCCTCGACTCACTCTATCTTTTTAATAAAGGATCTAAGGTAGAAACTCACTCTAAGTAGATCAAACCTAAGAGAGAAGGTGAGTAGAGAAAGAGAAAAGTCGGTTCTAAGGTTTTTCAGATCAAAAGGGGGATGAAAAATGATCCAGAAAGTCGGATCTCGGATTTATATACCAGTCGTTCCGCTCGAGCGTGTAAACCCCCGCCCGAGCGCCACTCACAGACTCCCGCTCGAGCGGCCAAACTCCCGCTCGAGCGGCGGATGCACACTCCCAGAAGTTTCTTTGCAGACAGGTCCCCGCTCGAGCGCCAAACTCCCCGCTCGAGCGTCACTCACGACTTCCCGCTCGAGCGTCCAATCCCCCGCTCGAGCAGCCAACACTACACAGGAGATACTGGATGGGTGTATTCCCCGCTCGAGCGTCCAAAACTCTGCTCGAGCGGATAAGCCAAAAATCTGGGCAACTAGACTTGGTTCCTAAGCTCAACCAACCTGCTCCAAATCTTCCCAACACAACCCAAGACTCAAAATAAGAAAATAATGAATGACAACA